CTTTGAAGAGAGGATACAGATTTAGGCCTACTGTTGTAGTAATATTCCGGCTTGTTGAATCATCTTTGCTCCATGAGTGAGTAAGAGGGATTATCCCCTTATTACCAATACTAAATACAATTATGCAGTTTGGAACAACCATCATAAAATGCCAGAAGATATCGCACGGCGAGAGATAAACCGCCTGGCCAATCTCACTCCGCACCCGACCATAACAACCTCTTGCTTCACCCTCAATGAATGGGATCCCTTAAAAGGAGCCGTAGACTTAGACGAACCAGAAGAGCTGATGGCACGCTCCCTCCTCCTAGGAATCTTGCATCGTGCCATTGGGGAATACGAAGGATCGAACTCGTTCCTGACAGAGACACTTGCAGGTCGAGATAAGCTTTCATCGTCAAATTGGATCGTGTCGACTACACTGTTCGAGTTGGCCACGCTGGACCTGGTGCAAGCAGAGGCTCGCTGGCCAACGCGTATAGGAGACACTGAGACAAAAGAGCAGCAGCCGATTGATGCCAAGGTCAAGGAGGAGTGGAAGAAGGTGTTGGCAACTGCAACTTTGAGGTTGGATGAGGCGTCTCGTTTGGTCTCTGATTCTTCATCGTCACTGTCGAATAGGGTAGAAAGTCGAGCGGGCATGCTACGGGATGAAATGGGATATAAAAAGGCAGAGTTGGGGATATAATAAAGGTCTTCGTGAGCAGACTGTCCACTCTTTTATTTATACTTTTTGTGCTAGGACGTTCTGGCTCTTGTTTGTCGTGTCGTTTGAATGATACCTGATTATTAGTACCTCGAGATGAAACTAGAAACTACAAAACGTCGATGAACCTGAATAGCCATTATTGTTTGTGGTGTTCGAGCCATTTCCGGACGTCTTCCTTTCTCAGCATGTTGACAACCCTCTGTTGATCTACTTGCGGTCGTTTTCGGTATAATCTCATGATGATACCAGAGATGACCCACATGTCATCAAAAGAAGCGTCAAAGAGCTCCCACCAACGAATCGGGCTTGTTGGTTCTGATGGGAGCGGTAATTGCAGGTGTCGGATCGTCAAGAATATGGCAGCACAGACTATAGGAGGTACGGGGAAGATGGCATAAACGGGCGTCTGTAGCCTAAAGCAAATTAGATAAAAAGGCAGCATCAAAGTGTATGACATACGCGTCGTTGAGGTAGCCCCATGATCTTTCACAAGCCTTTGAATCATCAAGGAGATTCAGAACACGTAGATAGTTGATCAAAGTTCCATATGGAAGAACCACGTGCACGTCGAAACCCAGTCGTTTGAGAACCTGCATCTCCGCCACAATCAGCATATCCTTCATATCGTAATAGGTTTGTGAAAAATAGGACATGGCTTCATAATGGAATGGCTCTTCTGGAGAAGTGGATTGGTGACGTGCATGTTGTATGAGGACGTCGTAGACGTTGATAACATCTCGCATTCGTAGAGGGCACTCTTCTAATTTAGAAGCAAGGTATAATGCTCCCATTCCAATCTCCTATCCCTAATCATCAATAAATTGCTTCGTTGAATTAAAGAAAGGCTTACAGCAATGCCATACTTTTCCATCGAGCTCACAAACCAAAATCGTTGAAATAAAACTTGGGCCGTTGACATTGCCACTTGTTTCCTATAGTAAACAGATTGATCAAGTCTTTGAAGAGAGGATACAGATTTAGGCCTACTGTTGTAGTAATATTCCGGCTTGTTGAATCATCTTTGCTCCATGAG